TGATACTTCATCTACACTTGACGCTTGGTATAATACTGTAAAGATTTGGTTGTAGTGGCCGCCCTGCCCGCTCAGTCTTCTCTCTGGCCTTATTGCGGCCCACCTGGAGAGATAACGGGGGCAAAATATTGACTTGATGCTCTCGTTGGGGTTTTCTATCGATCTTGTGTGTGTGTGTGTGTGTGTGTGTGTGTGTGTGCCATCGACCCATCAGTCCAATTCTGTGTGGTCTCCCTCCTAGCCCTCAAACTTGATAGCATTACTTGCAGATAGCATTGGATCTGTTAGCTCTCTCCACTTAAGGTTAAAACACTCTTTAAGTTTTTATGAGTAGAAACAAAGTCATTGTGCTCTCTGTTACTCTACAGTAGGACTCTGCACAGCTTAATCCCATGGATGGAGGGCAGCTGAAGTCATCCAAGAGTGAATAGTTAGGTTGAAATGCATGCATGATCCTTCTACAGAGCTCTAACAATATCAAATCTTCTTTCTGTCCTCCTTCAGAACCTTTTAACAAGATGAATGAAGAAAAAGACGTCTATCAGAAGCTAAAGGATGTACCAGACAAAGCCTTGGCATCCAGCGGGTACTCGGAGATTAACCTGGCCAAACTCTTCCAGGCTTTCTCCTCCCTCAAGTAAAACAACATAAACCTCCATGAAGACGTCACCACCAAGAGGCTCCAGTTTCTGACTCAAAAAGCTGGACATATGCTCACACAACCACATCTGTTTTCTTTGTTTGCAGTTTCCACATATAGACCTCAGCCTCCTAACCCTTATGTCATCTACCCTGTAGCTAATGGTCTTGTAATATAGCTTAAAACCCAATCACAGCTTCCCCATCCGCACACACACTCTCTCATTATTTGACCCCGTCACCCTGGCTCTGTATGGTAAAGGGGAGCAGCAATCATACCTAAATGACAGCCTATTGTGCGTGCAGAGGCTAGCTGTGCCCAGATGTGTGTGTGTGTGTAAGTGTGAGAGTGTAAAAATGACTTATCCTCAGAGCAGCCAGTATAGTCCAAAAGCAGCTAATTACCCAATGATAGTGACCCCAGCCTCTAAGACCACTGGATGCCTGCAGCGATCGGACACTTGTTCTGATTACTACCATTCATCCTGTGTGTGTGTCTGTGTGCGTGTGTGAGTCAGATCAGTGGATGAAAGAAAAGAGTAAAGGAGGATGCAGGGAGAGACGGGGTGAGGCAGGCCACACGCGCTGCTCCCTCGCTCTTTTGTCCCAGTATCGAACAGCTGATCTTCTCCTCCACTGCGTCTGTTTTAACTGATGTCATTTCATCTCTTTCACCTCCCCCCCCCCTCTCTCTCTCTCTCCTCCTTCCTCCTCTGTGCAAATTGTTTTTAAAGCATTTAATGTTCTGTGTAACAGAGTTGTATCTCTCGGTAGGATTTTTGTCCTGTTTCTTTGTAATGATCAGAATATTTTGATATTGAACAATTTAATGTTTTTCATACTGAAACCTCAATAAAAGGCTAAATGGATAAGAAGTTAGTCCTGTGTTGTTTGGGGAGTGGGTGGGGGAGACGACAAACTGGGTGGGTGGAGATCCTGGTTTGCCACTGTAATGGCACTGTGATGGCACTGTGATAAAAGTCAGATTTATTAAATTGGGGGAAAAAATGTTCACAACAGTGGGACATCTGGGTAGCTAAATAGAGTGTCATTCAGCATCATTTGCTCACAGGACCACTGAAAGCAACAATGAATCAATCATACTACCCAGTAATCTGTGTCCAGAGCCTGATGTAGCTCGTCACTTTCCTCCGCATCTTCAGGATCATATAGATTAGAATCTGCTGCAGCAGGTTATATGTAGTGTTAATAATATAGCTCCTGCATCAAACTGTTGCTAATAAAGTCTATAATGAGTACTAAATGAAATAAATGTCCTAATATTATATACATTAATTTTTTAATCTTATTTTCACATAAAGACCAACACAGAAAAGTCATGTCCCAGAAATAAGTCTAATCAGGAGCTGAGAGAAGACTTAAAGCCTTCTATTAGGACATTTTATAAGCCTGTATATTGACATGTTAGTTTGTTCTAGGTAATCATTTGAGGGTAGAGTATTTTACCCAGTTAAATCCCAGTGCACGAAGCATTCCTGCTCACTGATTGCTCCCAGTGCAAGCACACCGTTAAAGGGATTAAACTATAACGTTTGCCCAAATGCATGTTAATCTATAGTAATGCCAGCCTGTGCGTACTAAATGCTGGCTGTATTTACTCAGCTCTACTTAAAGTTCAACATGTAACCCGCTGCTTGAGTGTTTCTCGCGTTTTTCCTCCCAAGAATTCTCCTTTGTGTTAATACAGTCGAGGGATTTTTTTTACTCCATCCTGCCGTGTGCATTTCCATAAACACTGTACGCCTCACAAATCACTTCAAACCACTGTGACTTGTGAAGGCAACCTTAAGTGGGCCGAACACTTAAACCGTGATTCACTATGCAATGGATAGAACATGCTGAGTGTGTGTGAGAGAAAGCGTCTGCATGCATTTACAGACATAACTTTACATATTTATTAAAGCATATTAGTTCCACTACTTCTCCCTCACTAACTTGTTTTTTTCCTTCTTTACTTTCCCCACCATTTAATCACCCTCAGCTCACAGTAGCCGTGCTCAGGCCTCCTGTTCCCTCTATCAGACTGCGGGGTTTTTTGAGTATGGGCCCTCGTTTTGTCCTCCCGCTTTGCAGTAAACCAGTCAAATGAAGTCCCCTGCATTAATTTGACCCTGCTAAGCTAATAAGGTCGAACAAGTCTCTTTGTATTGTCGTGTTAAGCTTTATTGCTTGTCGTTTTGACCAGCGATGGACAAGGTAGGCTTTGATGAGGGAATTAGTCCCCTATTCTGTCGCTGTTATTCATAGCGCGGTGGAACATACAAGCACCAGAGAGGGTGTCAAAAGGAGAGCTGGTCCTATTGCAAAGTGTCTCCCTTGTTGGAGCTGAAAGGGCGGTTATGAGACGATAAACCGCTTAATACACTGAGCTAATTGGATGAGAGCAAGAGAGACGGGGGAATTAAGGGGCGATCCGAGAGGGGAGCGGAGAGCCATGGCCCTGCTATTCAGGTCTTTCATCGGGCCTGGTTCTCCGCCTGGGGGGAAAGGAGGGGGAGCCGTTCATCAAAGCGCCTTTTAGAGCTCCTCTCCCGGGGACTGAGTGAGGACTGATCCGGCTGAGGCTGTGGAGTGATTGGACCTATTCTCTCTGGCAGGGACGTGGTGGGGGAGACGAGGCCCGGGAGAATCCAAAATCACGGACCAAATCAAGTCCAGCAGCTCGGGGAAGGAGAAGGAGAATGATGAAAATGGGCAGACAAGTCAGTGGGGGGAGATTTTCTGGACGTTTGGATTTACCTGCGAGAGGCGGGCAGTAGCATTAAGACCCGCTGCACTGACGCAATCCAGCAAATAATGCAGATTTGGCGTCTTTTTTTTTCCCCTTTCTTTTTTTTCTTGCAGCCAGTTTGCAAGAAAACAGCTCGCGATTGGACAGCCGGCCCCATTTTTATATCAACATTCATTATCATGGTCATTCATGCAATAAGGAGCCTCCTGGCCTAATCCCAAGTGCAGGCGCTGTCTTGAATGGAAGGGCACACATCCAACAAGTGTGACTTTATAAATCCAGAGCCATTGGCCTTCGACAGCATTTCAATTTTCTCGCCTTTTTGCGCTGCAAAGAAAGTTTAAGCCTCGCTCCCAGCGGGTCACCCGCCTCCTGGCATTCCCCAGATATTAGGGACAAATTGGTTTGCCATTCATTAGTTATATTCACAATAAGATTAAAACTTCCCGGACAATCTCATCAAAACCCTATACAGGAAAAAAACACACACGCTCCACCGAGCTTGAGCAAAAGAATGGGGGAAATTTTAAAAAACATGGAGCTCTCACACATCGTGGATGGTGGTTTGGGCACATAGGAGAAAATTGGTTTTTATCTCTTTTTTTTCGGCATTATGCTCCAAGGGGCGGCTGGATGACTTTGTCAGAAGCTGCATTGGGATAAATTCAGATACATCTTTCCATCAGTCTACTGCCGGATCTAATTCCTGCATGTTTGGAGTAAAATGGCTGATTAACAGGTATAAGATCATAAAGCAAAGAGCACTGAAGGGACAAGAACAGGTTTTCTTCTTCTTCCATAGATGCACACAATAAAAACATGGGCTACATTAATCCGCAGGGTAATTTCACGCGATTTGGTCGGGCACCGAGGAGAGTAACCATTGATTGCTGTAATAGTCCTGCATCAGTATAGCGAGATCCAATGGAGAGAGAGAGAGAGGAGGGGAAGAGGGGGGGATTGAGGGGAATTAACTCTACGAGGTTGTGTGTGTGAAAGCAGTTTGATGAAGTGGTTTGTTACTTCATTAATGACAAAGGGGACTCGCTTCCATCGAGACGGCATTACAGATGTTAAGACCAATTTAGCGCCTTTAAAGGGTTTTAAAGGAAGTTTTGTGACGGGCCCCCCAAGATAAAGTGGGCGATCTAATTGAAAACCCCTCTCCTTTGTCGCGCGTTTCACATGTTGGGGATTAAGCTCATGAATATATGGTCAGTATTTTGTCAACTCCACTGAAGAGGATAGACGCACGCAGCGCACCGGATTAAACACCTCATGGATTTTGGCTTTCTGCAGGTGGAGCTGCATCTCGATAGATTCCTCTTCTTTGTTTCAGCTGGCCTGCAGGCATGAGTGAACACCAGGCAACCTGTGAGTGAAGCTGGCTGGATATTTATTTTACATTCCAGCATTGCTCTCTAATGGCACCGGTGGCATACATTTAAAATAAATAAATAAATAAATATTCAATTTAAGACAGAAAGCGTATTTTTTTTTCCATAACACTTTTTATTAATAGTTCTATAATATTCTATTTCGCATTATTTAATTTTCCTGGTTTTAGGCCTATGTGAGTCCTAAAGGAATCTGAAATAATAAACGATAACAAATTTTACCAATGTAATTTATTCAAATTAGTTATATTAAACCAGGAAACGTACAATCACTTAATAATTATAAGAAAAACAAAAACAAAAAGCGTCCTTCACTCATTTCCTTAAGGGGGGTAGGGAGGGTGACATAAATAATTATCTAAAAACCTAATAATTGATAAACACGGGTGGAATTCTACACAGGGCGACATTCATTACACACTACACCGAGTGCAAAGGATCAAAACACGGTCTCTTGAAATATACACGACCTTGTTTTGATTTTTTTTTTTTTACTTCCCCCCCCCTTTTTTTATTTTTTAAACGCAGTATGTACAGTTTTCTCTCACACAGTCAGGTCATTAAAGAAACACCAGATCTCTACGCTGCTCGCGTGCCCTGCAGTCACACTCAGCGGAAATGCCACCGCTGCGATAATCAGACAGGGAGGAGAAAAATTGCAGTAAATTTACAGAAATCTCGTGCTGACGTGGACTCAAACCACCTTAAACCACACTGAACTGATACAGGGATTTAAAAATATAGGCCTATATATATTTATATATATATACGTATATATGACGGCTGAGTGTGACGGTCGGGTAGGCGAGCAGTGGAGAGGAGTCAGGCTTGTAGAAGAGAAGGCTATGGAAGGTCTATGGACAGTTTTCCTTTGGTTCAGGGTGGACCTCCTCCAACACGCCTTTGTCATAGATGCAGACCTGCTCAGCCCACATCAGTGCATACAGATTAAGCAGTGTTAATGTCGAGCACTCGCCGTTGTCCACATTTGAAGTAGCACAAGATTTCTTTCTAGAAGTCTGGGTTCCCCTGCGGTTCTTCAGCTCTCACAGCGCGCGCGTGCGTGTGGGTGTGTGTGTGTGTGTGGAAGATGACAGACTCTTAAGTAAAAACAGCCTGAAGATGGTCGGTTAAAAAAAAGAAAAAGGTGTTTTTAAAATAATTGAATGCAGAGAAAGAATTAGAAAAATGCACAGAAACTGTGGATTAAAAACGGCCTTTTGGTGTCACCCACATTTATTAAAAACAATTAGGTTAAAATGGATTACAATAAGTGGACACAGTTTTAATCTAGTTAAATTGTATTTAATATTTAAATAACGTAAAGGCCTTTGGAATGTCGCAAAAGTGAAGTAGAAATACTCAAAATATTTGTACTTAAGTACATTATTTTAGTAAATATACTTCCACCTTCCTCCAATGGTGATTTTTTTATTTTATTTATTAATTTAATTGTATTTTTTTTATCTATTTGGTAGTTAGACTGTGTAAGTCACGTTCATGTATACTATAAAAGAATCAAGAAATATTTAAAAGTCTTCTGTTAGACTGTGTCTTAAAATAACCAAATGTGGAAACATTTTAAAAAGTTAAATATGTAATTTAGTGGACTGTCTGTCAGGGAAGTGTGTGTATGGAGTGTAAAGCAATGTAATAATAACTGCAATTACCACGCACACACACACACACACACACACACACACACACACACACACACACACACACACACACACACACACACACACACACACACACCTTTATAAAACCAGTGCTCCTTTAAATTTGGTCGTGCTATTTTTGGGGGTGGGGAAACATGAGGTAACAGGGATGGCTAAACATGGAGGGGGGGGGGGGGCAAACAGGACTTCAGCTTCCAGAGGTACAAATGGGGTATTTGGAGAAGTTTTGGGTGGGGTGTCGTGGGATGGGACATAAGCCCAGGACGGGGAGGTCTAGAGCTGGTGTTGAGTGTTCAGCACACCTCCTTCCCTGTGGCTCCGGTGGGCAGGATGTTTAGCTGGGTGAGCTGAGCTGAGTGTTCCTTGGCCTTGAGGCGCAGCGCGGCGATACTCGAGGCTCTGCGGTCCGCTGCGGCTGAAGAAGTAGTAGTGGAGGAAGATGAGGAAGGGTCAGGGAGGACGGGCCCCGTGTGGGAGGGGTTCTCTACAGGAGGTGCGGGCTGACGGAGGAGAGCTGCAGCGGTGGAAGCACTGGTCAGAGGACCCATACTGGAGAAGAGCCTGAAAGAAGAACAAAATGCAGAAATCTATATATATTATTTGAAATTAAAACCATATTCAAGTTTAATTTATGCATTTCACTCTCTTTGCTTCCTACATCAGACCCAAAATCCTGTCAGTGTGATGGCGTACGAAGAGGAACAGTATTGCCTGCTCATTAGAATTCTCAAACCTCCTCCTTGGAAAGATTTATGTCATGTATTCCATGCTGACTTCTTTTATATTAAAGCTAAATGGAAAGCATAATGGTGTATAATGGAGAAGGTAACTGTGGCATATGGAGAGTATCGTGTCACCCCTCCTCACAGCTTGTCTTGCACAATCACACGTTCTGTTAATTTATTAAGGTGTTTGACAGAGTGATTACATGCCACTGTGAATGGTTAACAGTATAACATATTTGTAATCAGACACTGAGATAAACAGTGAGGGAGTGTGACTGAGGATTAGTGTAAACATCACTCATTAGAGTTGCTGGCAGTTTATTTTAAGCTCTAATGCTGCTCTGCATTTTCTGTCTGTGTCTGCCTCTAAAATTGTTGTCATTTACTGTAAAACACAGGAATAAACATGAAGGTCAATTTTTTATTGGAGGAACAAAGTCCAACGGGAGATGCGTTGTCCAAAGAATTATCATTCATTAGATCCAAGGGAAGTCTGTCGATCGGTGCAGCTTACCTGCCAAAAGTGGGTCCAATAAAGGCAGGGTGGCGAAACATGGCAGCCGTGCCCAGGAAGGTGCCCAGGCCGAGTGGGGCAGCCAAGGGTGGGCCAGAGCCGTTGTGAGGTGGTGGAGCCAAGCCTGGGAAGGCTGCAGCTGCAGCTGCTGCAGCCGTCCATGCAGACTCCAGAGCTGGATGTGGGTGAGGAGGGAAGGGTCCTCCCTCTAGGTAGTGGCTGAGAGGATGGCCCGCTGCAAGAGGGCCTGGAAATGGCAGGCCTGATGGGTGGCCCTGCACCCCGGCCTTCTCGCGTTTCCTCCACTTGGCCCTTCGGTTTTGAAACCACACCTGAGGGCAGAAAAAGATGAGAAACACATTAGTATTAGGAGCAAGATGGCAGATACAACACAAAAAGATATTACTTTTACACTAATAAGTGATAAAGGAGAAAAGAAAGAGCAAATTTCCTACATAGAGGCAAAAGAGGCGTCTGCTCAAAGCTAGTTGTAACCCAGGTTAAAATTAGATCTATAACTCTCTATCCTGCTTACTTCACAGCAATGTCGCACTCTAATTAACATAATCTCTATTGAATGTTGTGTCAGTGTAGTCTAATAGTTGTCTAGTTCAGGTGGTGGCCAACAGGCGGAAAGTCACCGGTAATTACATGCAAGGTAAACCCCGCCGCTCACGGTCCCTTAAATCTACTTTCTGTCTAATTAAACCCTCCTCCCTGTAGACGGGCTTCGGGTGGGGAGAGATAATTAAGAGCGGTGTTAACAAAAGATCCAGAAAATTACCGCTGAACTGGCTCCAATAACAATTAATGCGCTTTAAATTAAATTCTTAAGAGACGTCGAACGAGTGACTTCCATCCAAGAGACTATTTAACTTTCCCACGCATCCACTGTTGCCCAGTTTGCACTGCAGAAGCACGGGACTCTCACAATGAGCAAAATGTCAACATGTGGAAAGTGACTGAACAGAGCAGGGGCTTGAGCGACAGGCACTGTGCGCGTGCACGCACACACACACACACACACACACACACACACACACACACACACAATTCCCAGAGGGCTGTTTAGCATTACACAGCCCCTCGGGAATTTATGAGTTTTTATCACCTCCTGATGGCGCCCGTTAAGTGATTTGTTCACCTACGGCCCCTAAAGAGACATCTGTTGTTTTACCTTCGGCCATAACATCTCGGAGCTTCCACCGTGTTTGAACTGTCTCTCTGGTTATGAGCCCGGGCTTTCGACATGCAAGCCACGCTTTCAGTGCAAAGCGAAGGAGAGAGGGAGGGAGAGAGGAGGGGGGGCATGGACGGATGGATGGATGGAGAGAGAGTGGGATTGGGGGGTTGTTGGTGGTGGAGGGGTGAGGGGGAGCAAACACCTTTAATGGTCTCTCATTCGCTCCCAAGTGCAGAGCATCGGATCAATGCAGGTCTATTGCAATCACATAATGGGAAATCAAATAGCATTATCCCTCCCCTCTTTCTCTCCCTCCCCTCCCTCCACCTCCTCTCTCTTTCATTCTTTTTTTTTGCACACGCACACACACACACACACCTCGGCCTCGCCCCCTATCTGTGCCCTCTGATGGGAATTCAAACACCATCTCATCCCGGGAATACAGACAGTGTTTGCTCCTGCACTAAGTATGCTTTTTATGAATCGCCGGCCTCGGCTTAATAGCCACTAAAACGTCCCCAGTTTGCGTGTAATAACATTCAATAACAGGAAGGACCTTCCCCGCGCAGCGACTGGGGCCATTTAACACATTTTACTGTAATAAATTATTGCCTCAAATTGGCCCGTAATCGTTGATCCTCAATCAGTGACGCATATCACCGGTTATTATCCAGCGCTGCATATCGGAGACATTTTATAGAGGACAGATAAAACATTAGAGGATGCTGCTTTTCCTTTTCTCCCCTCCACCCCCTCCCTTATATTTGATTTACAAGTCAAGCTTCTCTTTTTTTCAGATAAAAGAAACACGGAGCCACTTACTTGAACGCGGGCTTCGGTGAGATCCAGGCGCATTGCGAGCTCTTCTCTAAAAAAAATGAAATAAAAAGAATAACAAAGACAGAAAGAGGAAGGGAGAAAAAGCAGAGAGACAGTAAGAAAAGATTCAAGGTTACAGGCCACCATTTGGAAGCAACGCAGAATTGCTGTTTTGTCCCCTCCTGTTGTTCACTGTCAACAATAGACGACCAAAAATAGGCTGGATTTTTCCCCCTCTCTTCCCCGACATGAACTGCAGAAAGACGCCATAGCCATATTCTATTTTCCCTGTCACGGATGGAAAGAAATAGGCCTAGTGATTGTTAGATTTTCCTTAGCCAAGGCCTGTCACCGTAACAACATAATGGTTGAAATAATGACATCTAAACTAGCCTGCCACAAAGCAATTGACGCTCCCTTCAGCTATACACAAGATGAGCTCGCGGTTCAAATTAGACCCACGAGTCGCCTTAAAGTAGATCGACTGAAAAATAAAATAAAAAATATATATGAATAATCCCCAATAGGAAAATTGGAAAAATTAATTTTGCGTGATGTTTCAGAAGAAAAGTCAGAAGTGTCAATTTAACAGAAAATGAATGAGATTGATTATTATTATTTGGTTATTTTATTTGGTTTTGGTTCAAACTACTAAAAAAAAAATAAAAATAAAAATCCTGGATAACATAATTTTAACAAAATGTATAAAATATCAGCTTGTAAAGCTCTGGATTTCTTTCAGTGTGTGTGTGTGTGTATGTGTAGGAACAACGCGTTTGTACACCTGCCCTTGGGCTTGAGGTTAGGCCCTGACTTTGAGCTCGCAGTATCATGTCCAACAGGTAACCTGAGCTGCTCCACTTAATTATTCCTCCACGCAGGAACACCGCTGCCATATGTAGAAGCAGGCACTGGGTTTCTTTCCTTCTTTTTTTAATAAGGGGGGTCTCCCCGTTAGCACTTACAGGCCCATTGTGCTCAGTTATTTAAAGCACGGATTTAGTGTGGGGCATTTTATGAGCTGTGATCGGCGCAGTGTCCTGTTACACACGCGTGGAATTACTGGGACTGTTTCTGAAAAATTTTTATGGGCTAGGGGAAGTGTTTATTTAAAAATAAATGCAATTAATTATCGCCTTCAGTTATGGAAGTATGAAGGAACATGGCTCGTTTAAGGTTTAAGCGTGTTCATTTAACTCTTAGCTATAATAATAATAATAATAATAATAATAATAATAATAATAATAATAATAATGTAGGGCAACGCAGTTATATATATGTTTTACATGGAAATTAAAATTCAATTTAATAGGCCTACAATCGTCCCTTTTAAATTCGTTAAGGAGTGATGCAGAATAACTGAAAATAAACTGTATTTAATCAAGTTAAAATTTTACAATAAAAAAACAACATTTTTTCCAAACACTTCCTGTTTTGTTTTGTTTTTTCTTTTCTTTTCTCTTTTCTCTCACCTGGTGAAGACATCGGGGTAGTGAGTCTTCTGGAAAGCTCTCTCCAGCTCCTCCAGCTGGTAACTGGTGAAGGTAGTCCTGTATCTTCTCTGCTTCCGTTTCAGCATCCCTTCCTCCGAGTCACTGCCCGCCGACAGACACACGCTGTCTTCCCCGTCCCTCACGTCCCCATCCCCGGCGTTCAAACTCTCCCTCTCCTCGTCCTTCGGGGATAGCGCCACCGCGTCCCCGCAGCCCTCTTCTTCCTTCCCTGCGTCCTCCTCGAACTTCAGCGGACCGAGCTCCACCAGTCCCATGCTGCCATCCTCCGAGGCCTCTCCGGGGCTCTGGTCACCCTCTCCCCGGCTCAGCGACGCGTTCTCTCGGTAGGACTTGCTACGGCTGATGCTCACCTGTGGCGCCTGGCTGATTTTGAGGCTTTCGCTAGCTTGCTCCAGCAGGAGCCTTTCCCTCTCCAGCTTCTCTGCGTGCTCATGGAGATACTTCCCCCCAGGTCCGTACAGCCGGCGGAGCTTTGGAGGCAGGTGCATGTCAGCGCTGAGAGAGATTGGCTCTTTAGTTGGCCCTGAGAGAGAAGCGTGAGAAGGATGTCAAAAATAACGAACAGGCACTTCAATTTTCTTCAAAGCTAAAATAAAATGTAATATTTTCACCGGCCTTTAAAATGGCCTGCTTAGTCGTGGAAACACTTTAATTAATCAAAGAGAGATTCTTGGGGCTATAATGGGCTCACCTACAAGCTTCATTAGAGCAACTCCTGCAGAAGCGTTACTCACATACTTTAGGGCTAAATTAGTTTGCTTTGTTACCAATTCACCCCTCCTTACAAAACTGCCAACCGATGTAAACTATCATTCCAATTTTCCCTTTAAAATAAACTCACCGTCGGCGGTCCTGTCGAGCTCCACTCTGCCGGGCAGACCCGTCAAACTTTGAGCCCCTATCAGTCTGACCTTACAGGGACTCCTGCGGCCCAGAATGCTGTCTATGCAGTAAGAGGAGAGCAGTGTCGGGGATTTACTGCTCTTCCTCTCGCCCCGGTCGTGGATATCTTCCTCAAACTGACCGCTCATGTCGACGCTTCGGTTTGTCTTTCGGTAACGCCTGTCAGTCTCCCTCTCTCTACCTCTCTGCCCTTCCTCTCTCTCGGGGTCTTCTTCTTCTTCTTTTTTTCTTCGGCTCCTCTCAGGCCGGCTCGTCTGTTTACCGGGACCGCTCACTCCTCCCTCCTTCTCCTTCTCCTCTCTCCCCTCTGTCACTCCTGTGTCACACTCTCAGCTAATGACAGACAGCGGTTTGGCTGCCTCGCGTTGTGCTCCGGGTCTGCCAGGCGTTTCTCCGCTCCGCGCGCTCGCTCAGCATAGGCTACGTGTGGGCTGTTGCTGCGCTCTTGATTGGCTGGTGTGTGTATGTGGGGAGAGAGACAGCGCGCAGCTGCTTTATATATTTTACATTAAAGTTAATTTGAGGGAGAGGCGACAAAACCCGACATGGACTTCGCATTCCTCCGCGGAACGGACTCAAGCGGATTGAGCAGCAAAATCCAAAGAAACTAAAAAAAAACAACAAAAAAATAACGACTTCTCCAGCTCGTTGGTGTAAAATGTCTCTAACACCTTTACTTACTCTAATTTATTAGCGATATAGCCTCATAAAGCAATGGGGTGCTGACAGGCTAACAATGTCATTAGCACAATGACTTTGGAGGAAAGTACCACACATAAGGCTACAAAGCACAATTTCACAGCTTTTTTTCCTTCCCCAGGTAACACGCCATTTCATTTCAAAATAAAAGCACACGCGTAAACGATAAAAATAATAATAGCTGACTTTTAAGTTGATGTTGCTGGCTTACTGGTGCTAGCTAACCGGGTATGTGCATAAAAGAGAGTTGGGGCCTATCAGCTTTTTTGGGGTAAAGGCCCACTAACAGCTAGCCTACCTGCCAAGTACATTGTATATATAAAATATGGTATTAGCAGTATAATTTATAATACTACTCGGGACTAGTAATGCCCATAATGACGAGGATATTTAGATTTTTTTATTAGTAATTTTATAACATAACGATAACATTAAAAAAATACTATACTAATATAATAATAATAATAATAATAATAATAATAATAATAATAATAATAATAAGGAATAGGCTTTTGTCTTCTTTGATCATTTCCATGGTCTTTATTATTACTTTTCTACTATAATGATAACTATAACATTTTAGGCTATGAGTTTAGTTTTAAACTCATGGCTAATCCTTGTGCCAACATGCAAAAAAAAGAAAACAAAAATCTGGCGCGGAGTTTGTGTTTAACCACTGCACCTGCGTGAGCCATGTCACAGACTGAGTCACATAGAAATATAAAAGATCAACACAGAGATCAGAATTTTGTAGCTTTTAAAAACAAAAGTTTATTTTGACAGGAGTATAAGCATTAATGCATGCATCTAATTAGTCTAGCTATCTATCTATCTATCTATCTATCTATCTATCTATCTATCTATCTATCTATCTATCTATGTCTTACTTTCTGTCTCTCTTCAATTGCCTGCTCTCTGCTGGAGTTGGGGATTGACTTAAAAAGTGAGGGTGGCGCGCGGTGATGAGACGCCGCACGGGGAGTCGCAGGGACTCCGCTGTGGAGAGGGGGAGAGATGGAGAGATGGATCGAGAATGTAATTTTAAATGAAAGTCTATTTAACCCGCTGTGAATGGCATGACCCCTATCCTCGCCTCAGAGCCCATCACTGTTAAAAGGATCATTTTCAGAATTCAATCCAAAAACTTCAGCAAGCTGCAATTTACTCTCTCCCACTCTCTCTCCTCTTCCCCTCAGTATATATCTGCCCAGCTAGAGCTTCACAGCAGACGAAAAATAACAATAAAATATATGTCCAAGATTGCACAAGCTGCCCCCCCCCCTTCTCTTCTCTTTTATCTATTTTTAAGTTAGAGCTTTACGGCCCCTTTTGTGATTGGAATTGGAATAAGAGCGCAATTGATCTCAGCAAAGTTAAGTTAAGGTGCAGGTCGCTTAGTATTAGAAGAAGGTAAACCCACCTAACTCGGTTTCATCTCCTTTTTTTCTTTTCATTTAAGAGCCTTACAAAAAGTTAACATAGCTGCTTTTATAGAAGTATCGGCGGGAGTGTAATATGAGAGGAAAAGTAATGCTTTTTTGATAGCATTAACCTTTCGTGGCGCACATTTCCTCAGAGGCCTGTGAAATCTGCGACACGAGACGGCACAAAGACAACAGCCAATATCGTCTCGTCATCCGCGTTCACGATAAAACACGCAGTCCTGCATGCTGTCACCTCACTGATGGTGTCACATTTAATCTATCTGCAACTTTTTATTATCATTATTATTATTTTTCTTTTATTTTGTGGTGTCACAAACTTCCGAGCTTGTTTATTTTGCACGCAAATCAATGTAATGAGTGTAATAACAATATAAAATGTTATGCCTTTTCCCTGCGCGGTCACAAACAGACGTGCGTAATACAGACGGGTATTTAGAGTCGCTCTGTAATTTGGGGGCCACAATTTGATTCATTTATCCGCACACTGTTATTAACCCTGTGGAAAAAGAGATGTCAGCCGCCATTTCAGCCAGCAGGACATCCGCGCTTTGTTTAAATGCACTAATTACGCGCATACATTAGAGGGGGACGGAATAGCCTGAGCGTAATTTTCACATTTTTCAGTTTCCCGTCTGTTTGACGTGCAGGTGAAGAGATGGCGGAAAGAGGCCGCCTTCAGTTGCAGCGCCACCTCCCCACCCCCTCCCCACCCTGTATTTTCATAACATCCTAACTTGATAATATCCAAGGGGAAACACCGGCTTGTGCGCTTTTCTGTTCGCTTAACGCTCGCATACTGTGGCTGTGCAGCTGTGAACTAGACCCTAGAAGTCCAGAGGCCTCTCAACACATTCACGCCAGTAGGAAACTAATGACGCATTTAGTAGTGCATGCGTGCATTTTAATGGCGTGCCTCGGCCTTTTTTTTTTTTTTAATCTGTAACGCATGCCTCGTCCTCTCTGAAGGCCAGGGAAGTGATACTCATGAAGTCCATCTAGGGCCAGCAGGTTGCGGTGGACCTATAGCAGGTCATTCAGCTGGCGCCATCTTCTGGACGGAATAGCAAATTGCTCGCACAGGTGAGCATATTGCACCATTCATGTGTAACCGCGCTTTCCTGCTCCATCCTCACCACTGCCTGTATTGCCAGTTCATATGGGTGGATTAAATGTAATCAAAGCGGAAACCTCCACCCACCTTTAGGAGACAGGTCTGCATGTGAGGCATTTCATATTATTATATTATTATTGTAATAATTTTTTTAAACTACTAATTTGCCGTTGCGTTTTCCGCTGCCCCCTCAAGTTTGCCTCCGCTTTGCATCGCCATGTTGCACCAACTGTCCTTGGTGACGACGGCACATCCTCCATCCATCCCCGCGCTCTGACATAATTGGACACTTGCTCTGCTTGAGAGGCCAAGCAGGAAAAAGAAGGAGAGAGAAAGCGAGTGTGTGTTGGGAGGGGAGGGAGGCTTTTAAGGCGCGCGTAAGCAAAGTTAATTAGCGGTTATTAACAGCCCGCATAATGAGAGCGAGAGGGAGTCAATTTAATGACTTTGTTAGCGCGAGTTCAGAGCGACAGGCGATGATCGAAACAACAAAGACGAGCGCGCACGCAGCCATCATGCGTAATTTCCAGCGGTAATGCGGTCTGATCAGAAACAAAGGGTTCTAATTTCGTTCAACTGACTCGATAATTTGTCCTTATGTAAGGAAAATAATTAATGACTTAATGCTTCAACAGAAGTAGCTTTCCTTGTGAGAGGGTTTTTTTGGAGGCCTAGTTTGCTGGAGAAGGTGGTAAGGAAATCAATTTCCAGACCCATAATTATTTACATCATGAATTTAAAACGTGGACGTGTGCCTCTGCTCCCAGTTAGTGCGCAGACGAGGGAGAGTCTATTAGGAGAGGAGAGGAGTTTCGCAGTCTCCTTCTCTCAAGCAAATTGTGTGTGGCAACAAATGGGCCACTTGTTATAATGTAGGATAATAGATTTAGATATTAGAACAAACGGCAAACCGCGAAGGATATGGACCGGATGTAGTTTGGCAAACCGTTAAATGTAATAATAAATGCAATATTTAATGCAGTTCATCAGTGCAGATCTGAAGGGTTTGGTGGCAGATGATTCCTGGTTATACTCTGGAGTCCAGCCTCATTCACGGCTGTATCCCCCCCCCCCCCCCATGTGCAGGTCACTGTGGCTACCGCCTCGCAAATCATCCAAGCGCCTGCATGCGCGTCTTTACGCATGATTTCATCATTCCACAGATGGGTTGAGTCGGAGGAAAGATGTGAGCGCCATTATCGATTGAGGGAACATGAGACGCCTGCGGGCCACTCTTGGATTCATGGCAGGTGGATAGGTCACCCACACGAGAGCGGCAATTTCACGGCCCTCATTGTCTCCACTGATTACTGCTTTGATCACAGGAATCAAGAGCCCGAGACTCTCGTAAACCTCCAGCGTGGTCCAGGGAGCTCGCGAACTGAAGAGGTCATCATGCTTCATCATCACCATAACCATCGACATCATCATCCTCATCATCACCATCCTCATCATCACCGCTAGTTGACCATACCAACCTGGGGCGCTGTGTGTTTTCACAGGCGCGTTGCCCTTTTATTGATTGCGTGCCTTAATTTTAATTCGATTGCGCGAGTGTCAAAAATTCCGCAAGAATCATCCTAGTAATGAGATAATCAAAGTAATATATGCAAATCAGTTATGTTGCCAGCTTATCAAAACCGGAGTGCCCCCCCCTTGAGTCTGAAGAAGTCCATTTATTCAGTTAGTGGCAATACCTTGCGCAAATGGCGCGATGCAAATGACAGTTGATTAGACTAAATTAAGAACCTCGTTTCTCCCTGACCTTGTCTGAGTTTTATGTAAATTCTTTTTTTCCCTTTTTTTTTTTTTGCTTTAATGTGATAAAAGTGCATTTTTAAAACCTCGGCCTTTGTAGATCTGAACAATATTTTCCACGAGAAAAACAATGGCCAACCTCAAAACATAACTCAGTGTGTCAGTAGCTTGGATGATCCCCTGACTGGCTCTTTTGTGTCTGTCTTGCTGTCTGTCACAAATCTCAGTATACCTTGACCCTGGTGCAACACCCACAGTGACAGAAAGTGTACCGTGATAACTTCCTTGCTGTGGGGGAGTGTGCCTGGAAGATGGACTAGGTGTGGGCGCCTCTGGGTGTGGGTCTCCTTGTGTGTGCCTGTGTGTGTTTACACAATTATGTGTACTCATGTGTGTACCATAACATATTGTCTAAGGAGACAGAGAGAGTGCAGTT